GGTGCCCCAACTTGAGCAGTTTTATCCGGAGGAAATCGTTAGTGCTGGCCCGTACACACGTGGGTGTATCGAAAAGAAGTTTCGAGGAAGTTTCGTTTCAATAACCTTTCATTCAGGCTGGCGGAAACCCCTGTATAACCGGTTTCAGAGTGGACCCCCGAAACAAGTCTGAGGCTCAGCCTACACTACTATGACTGCGCTGAAATTTCAGACAAGTCAGTTAAAAAAACTCTGAAAAATCAGACAGGGTGCATAAAAAAATTCTTGGAGTTCAGACTAGGTTAAAAAAAAAAGCCTGAACGGACTCTGAATCAGACTCCAAAGTCTGATATCTAGGGCAGGGCCTCAGATTCACTTTGAGGCACGTAAGGGTATCAGGGTTCCTCTGCCCCTAGACCTTGATCGTCAGGGTCGTCTTGGAAAAAAGCCTGAAAGTTCAGTGTTACTTAATAAAAAAGTCTGATCTATCAGTGTCCCCCACAGAAAATGGGTGATAGCAGTAGTAAGTTAAAAACAATACGAAGCATGCAAACAGCCTTCAATTCAAACCAAATCCTATCTTGCTAGCATAGCAAGCAAACTAAGCATGGAGTCTGGGAGCATTCTAATCAAAAGTCATCATCAAAAGAAGCTTGCTCGTCTGCATCGTCTCTTTCTAGTTCGTCCATCTCCTCCTCCTCTAGGACCTCCTTTCCCATGCTACCGCTCCCCTCCCCCTCTCTTGCTGGTGGTGCCACCACATTGCCGAATGGGCGGCGCTTCTTGTAGCTGCGCCAGATCTGCACCACCTCATTGTAGTTGGGCTCATACTCCAGCAGGGACGTCGTGATGAGGTCTTCGAGGCGGGCGTCCTTCAAGCTCCCCCGCTGCCACGATTTGATCACGTTCTGGCGTGAGAAGCCGCGCTCACACTCCACAATGCTGAGCGGCAGCACGGCGACAGCCACCCAGAGACGCACCAGATTGGGGTAGCTTGCCGCCCAGTCGCTTGTCTTCAGCATTGCTGTGAGGCCGGCGAGGAAGCTGCGCTCGTTCTTTGGGGCACCAGCGAGGATGGGGCAGAAGGCACGCAGCTCCTTGATCGCACGCCGCTTGTCGACCCCTGCCACATCAGGCAGAAGGGAAAAAGAGGGGAGTTAGACAGGCTGGTATACTTCTAAAACGCATAGTTGTAACATACGGTCAGGCACAAAGCGAGAGCGGGAATACCTGGAATGATGTAGTCCGTGTCCTGTGCCCTGAACAACCTCACGAGAGACTCGAGCCACTCGAGACACTGCCTGTGGCGCTCCGCTCTCCCCAGCTCCCACTCGTCGGGCATGAACAGCCGCACTCCCACCAGAGAGTCCAGGTCCTTGAACCGTGTGGTGAGGTTTTTTACGAGCGCCTCGGAGAAGGTGGTGCAGAGATCGACGCAGGCGTCGTGGGAGCCGAGATTCGGGTAGTCGTCGTCCGGTTCCTCGTGCAGCTCGAAGGTATGTGTAGTGGGCCGCCCGTCCGAGTCGACTCCCTGCACCTTCACCTCGGGTTTGCCCCCCTCAGGTCCGTGCTTCTTGATGAATGGCGAGAGTCGCGCGCTCACACCGCCTCCAAAGTCGTCACCGCAGTCGACGTAGCGGGACTCAAGGAAGGAGATGGACCGGCGGATCTGCCCGTGAACACCAGCAATGTCCAGCTGTTGGGGGTTCAACATGGATGAAAAAGTGTGGAAGGCAGACCAACTCAGAGCTGTGGTAGTAACACCAAACATTGGAGCAAAACCAGCAACAGGGCACATATTCAAGGTTTGTACGAAACCATGCTCACCTCACGCTGCTGGAATGCCTTGTTCAGCACATTGAGGTGCTCGAGTACGTCTGCAAGGAAATATAGCAGGAAGTGAAACCTGTAGCTCGTGACGAGCTTGTACAGGGTGCTGTCCCACTCGTACAGCATCACGATCAGCGCGGGGAACACCTCTACCGCGCGCAGAATGGCGTCACCGCGGGAGAGCCAGCGGACGTCGTGGATCCCCTGCAGCTCCAGGTTCGTTTTCGTGAAGACCTCCTGCAAGCCCATGAACCGTTGATGCCACGGGCCCGAACGCCCCAAGTACTCTGCCACTTGGCGGAGCAGGGCGTCCACCATCCCGAACTCGGGGAGTTCTTCAGCGGCGGCCTTTGCGGCGAGCGCCTCCCTGCATGCACAACAACAAGCAAACCAGGTCAACTAGTGATTACCACGGGTGGCTGCGGATTCATTAAGGGGTGCAGGAAACACAACATAAGAACCCACCTGTGGGCGATGCAGTGGCTCGAGACGAGGTGCGGGATGCGCAGGCGAAGTCGTGCGACCAGGCCGTTGTGTTTCCCCATCATGACACTCGCACCATCAGTGCTTATGCCGGATATCCTCGCCAATTCAATGCCCACGGCCTGCAGGTGGGATAAGAGCACTGACAGGAGAGAGGCTGCATCGCCCTTCTCCACGGTCAGCAGGGCAAGAAACTCAGTCACGGGACGACAGTCACGGATGAAAGACGCGAAAACAATCATGTGCTTTCCAGAGCACCTGTCCGTGCTTTCGTCACATGTGATGCCTAGGTATGGGCTGCTAAGGATGTGCTGCAGTTGCGTTGTGTGCAACCACGTAGCCATCGACTGAGTCAGCTGCCCAAAGCCGTATCTGCAGCGCAGGTCAAACAACACAATGTTAGACCGGTTATTAATCTACATATACACGGTTGCAACCCGAGAAAACGGTAACTCACGTCGTGTAATAGGTATCGTAGCCCTTAGCGGGGAACCCAGGCACCTTCAGTCGCGCGAGGTAGCGCACGAGATTCACCCATAACTCTATGGGTGCATCTTGCTTGGTCACGAAGAGCAGCGAGTCGAGGAGCCTGCTGACACGCTCCTTCTCCGTGTCGCGAGCGAGATTGTCGCTGTTGATCCGTGGCTGCGTGGATGCTTCGTCGAGTAGCTTCTTCTGGTGTTTCAACGCCTCCTTGTGCTTCGTAGTTGCCGCATGCCATTTGAACGCCTGCGTCTGAACGTCTATGGCGCCCTTTCCGCCTCTCCCGCACGGTCCAGCGTAGCCTGCATGCTCCGTACAGATCCTGCACTTGAAAGCAGGAAAATCGTCAGCCTTTTTTAGCAGTATGACCCAAGGAAATCGTTCTTGCCACTCGCTCTTGTACTTGTACAGAGCCTCGGCGTAAGTTGCGTCTGGCCCTGCTGGTTTGGAAGGCCCAGGTTTAGAAGGCCCAGGTGTTGAGGGCGACGCCTGCGTGCCTGCGGTCGCGGGCGTCGACCGTTGGTCGGCTGGCGAAGCCGGTGCTGCTCCAACGGTGCCTCCCTTCTTGCCCCACGGAATCGTTGACTGCATGTACTTGGCGGACTTCTTAGCCACAGGTACCGCCGCAGATTCTTCACCTGCAGGGTTGCAGCTGTCTTGCTCCAACACGGGCGCAGTTGGGGAGGGACACAGCGGCTCGTCGATTGGTTCAAACGGGATGTAGACGGTCGGTGCGATTGCAGGATCCTTTCCATGGTTATCTACTGCCGCTAAGCTGGAGAATAGCAGATCGAGTCCAGTAACTGCCGCGGACAGATCGATGAGCGAACGACGAGCGGGTTCATCGTCGTCGTCATCAGGTCGTTCAATGGCGTCCGGGTGGTCCGCCATTGGCTGCAGCGCAAACGAGCAGCATCTAACGGCACTACCAAGCTAGCCTAACGGAGGTTTGCCAGGAAGAGAGAAAACACGGCTGACTGCCTCTTGGTACACCACCAGGCAGCAACACGTTGAAACCGTACCCTTGCTAGATGGAAGGAAAGCCAGGAGCAGGCTGGGGTGGGAGATTGGATGGCTGGTAGCACAGCAGGGCGGCGTGGATGCATCCGTTCTTGCCAGTACGTCTTCGACAATCCGGGCCACAGGGCCACAGGTCCACATGTGCATCACATGGGCCTGAATCTCTCGTTGCTCTGCAACCCCGTAATTGGCCAAATCAGGAAATGCTGTCAAAGTGGCCAATCATCGCAGCACGCGCGCCAACAATGCATCCCTGGTTGAGGGCAAATTTGTCTTCTATTCACCGCCACGCCCTGCTGACACCGCGGGAATCTGATATTCCTAGTACAGCCGGGCAACTACACTCGGCCCGTGTAGGAATCGCTTTCAGGGTCGGATTCGTTACAACGTAGTGGCATCAGTGTCACTTGGAAAAAATTGCTGAAATTTCAGAGTCATGTGCTAGGTAAAGGCTGAAAAATCAGCCCCACTAAAAGCTGAACACTGGAAAATCAGGTTAGCTAAAAAAAAAACCCTGGAAATCAGGAATTTCAGGGGAAAATTCCTGATATCGTAGGCCCTGATCTAGGGCCCTGATTGAAAAATAGAACGATAACACAATGATAACTCAATGATTACTCAATGATGTTGAAGAAGTGATACAGCAGAGTATATATGCATCCAGCTACCCCTCCCAAAATGGCTCATTCACACCAATAATGGTGTACCAGGGCCTCAGATTCGTTTTGGCCTAGACTGAAAAATCAGAGTTGGTACAAAACGTTTTGCTGAAAATAAGAGAAATCAGCCATTTTATGCCATTTTTCACTAAAAATCTATTAACATTTCCTGTTTCATTTCAACAAATCGCTGAAAAATCAGCCTCAGCTCTAAGAAAGGTCTGAAATCTCAGCCTTTTTTACCTACATCAGCCTTTTCTCGCTGACTTCTGAGGCCCTGTGGTGTACCAATAATTGTGCTCTCTACCCTCCAATAATGCTAGACTCCAATAATTGTGGCCCCTACAATAATTGTCACAATTATTGTAGGACCTAGAAGCTTATAAAGAGGGCTACACTAAAACCAAACAGCACACTGGTATACAGTATTCGTTATACTGTATTCGGATTTCCAACATTAAATACATAAATTAGGAGTAAGCGGGAAGCTACGTTCGGATTGGTGGAACAGCATATTCACCACGTTAGCTTAGCATTCAGCTCATGTCAGTTTGTATGGCCTTCGTCCTTGGAGGCTCCTATACTGAACTTCTGCAGAAGCTGTGATATCTCGTCCAAATGTGGTTCTTCCAAGGAGGCCTGCATATGGAAACATGGAAACAAATGTTTGGGGAACGGGGCGGTTGAGGAAGAGACATTGTTGAAGAAGGTAAGGTATTTCTAGGCATCTGTAAAAAGAAAAGAAGAACCAGAATGGGAAACTACGAATGAGACCAGGGAAAGCCACTGACAGATTCAGTTGCTGTTGCTCTCCGTTCCTCGCCCGAACCAAACAGGCGGACAGGCCGCACCTGCCGCCTCCGCGAGCCCAACGCCGACGCACCGATTCGGGAGAGAGGAGAAGAGGAGGATCGGAGGATGGGAGAGGAAGACGCCGATGCAGAGTGCTTGGCTTGTGGGGTCGACAGGGTAGCAGGGAGAGGGGCGGATGTGGCAGGAACCCCCGACTGGCTTCGACAGAGGGTGCCGCTGCTGCTGCTGGTGGGATGCTGCAGTGGCGATGCGTGTTGCTGTACGAGTTGCACGTGTTGCTGTATTGGTGACATGTGTTGTGAATTCGGTGGTGATGGGTTGAAGGGAGTGCTGCCATCACTCTCAGTGACAGTGACGGTTTCCCCTCCACACTGTGGTGACAGGGCGCCAGCAGCGCTAGTCTGATAAGCGCACTGTGCAGCATCATCTCTCGTATTGCACGGCAGACTGCGCTCTGCATTGCCGCTGGTGCTGTCAGCTTTGTGTGAAGTAGCTGAAGCTGAGGCTGATGGTGAAGGCGAGGCAGAAAGGCCAGCACTCCACTGCTTCATCTCCTCTAAGGCTGCGAAAATGCTCCTCTCCACCTGCTTCCTCGCACCTTCCTCCTCCTCTTCCTCCTCATCCTCCTCATCCTCGTCCTCATGACTCACATCATCATCACTACCACTGCCATCGTTACTAGCACTGCCATCATCGCCATCTGCATTATTGTCATCACCATTATGATCACGACTCACATCGGCACCATCATCACCACCATAAACATCCTCGCTACCTTTATCATCACAGACAGCACCATTCACCATGTCGGAATTCCAGCAGCCAGCAGCCTTGCCACCACCGTTGCATGCCACATACCTGCTCTGCCTGCTATCCGCCTCATCCCCACCATCGCTCTCCCCATCTGCCCCTCCATTCTCAGCCAATCCCAACAGCTCCTCCAACATGCTGTCCACGTCATCCCCCTCCCCCACGACGTCATACCCCACCCCTTCCACGTCATCCCCCTCCCTCTCCCCCTCCGCCTCCTCCTCCCCTCCCTCAACTCCCTCTGCCTCCTCCATCTCTCCCTCTCCATCCTCAGGTCCTTCCCCTTCCTCCATCCATTTCCTTTCCTCCAGCCCCACTCCCCCTTCATCCTTTGCACAGCCTGATACAGATCCTTTCGCTCCTACAGCTGCAGCTGCAAATCCCTGTGCTGCTACAGATGCCGCTACAGCCGAGGCAGCAGCCTGCTCTGCAGCTGCCTCGATAGCTGCAGCCATCATGACATGCAAACATGCTTCCTCAACCTCCCCTCCACCCTCCTCCCTCTCCTTCTCCCTCCTCCTCTCCCTCTCCCTCTCCCGCATTCTCATCCTCACCCGTTCCCTTACACGCAGCCTTTCTCTTACCCTCTCCCCCTTCCTCTCCCTCTCTCTTTCCCGCTCCCTCTCCCTCTCCTTCTGCCTCACCCTCACCCTCTCCCTCACTCTCTCCCTCTCCCTCTCCCTCTCCTTCTCTCGCCCCCTATCCCTCTCAACCGCTTTCCTCACACCCTCCTCCACAGCAGCTTCAAGAACAACCGCCCCCACGTGCACCATCCCTCTTGCTCTCTCCTCCTCCCTCTCTGCCCTCCTCTTCAACTCCTCCCCAAGCTCTCTGCACCGCTCTCTCTCCTCCACCACTCTCCTCGCGGCCGCAGCAGCAGCAGCATGAGCAGCACGAGCAGCCTCCCTTGCTGCTGCTACCTCCATCGCCCTCCCCACCTCAACTCCCCCATCCCCCATATCTCCTTCCCTCTCCACCTCCCCTCCCTTCCTCGCCTCCTCTGCTCCCCTCCTCACCTCCTCCTCTCTCCGTGCTATCTCCTCCTCCTTTTTCCCTACCACTACCTCCCTTCCACTCACCTCCTCCTCCCTCTTAGCTAACAGCAGCAGTTGCTCGTCCCGCCGCCTAAGTGTCTCCTCTAAGAGCCACACATCTTCGTCCAACTTCTCCTCTCCCTCCCTCACTCTCTCCTCCCTTTCCCTCAGCCCCTCCTCCCGTCTTACCCTCTCTTCCATCCTCACTCGCCCCTCCTCCACCACAGCAGCACTCCGAGCCTCTACAGCAGCTTCGGCTTTGGCAACAGCTGCCCATGCAGCATTCAGCTTCTCCCGAGCCTTCTGCTCAGCTTCGGGCCATACCTCCTCCCAAACCTTTTCCCGAACTTCCTCCCGAACCTGCTCCCAGAGCTCCTCCCGTACCTTCTCCCGAACCTGTTTCTCAGCCTCGTGCATCCGAGCCTCTGCCTTGGCCACAGCCTGGCTAACTGCCACCTCTGCTACCCCTTCAAGCGCAATCCCCACGATTTCCATAGTTAACCTCTCTTTCTCAGAAGTTTCTACAGCCTTATCAGCCTGTGCTAGTGTTACCACCTCACCCACCGCCGAATCTAATGCAACCGCTGCATTTTCCATCGTAAACCTCTCTTTCCGAGAAGCTTCCGCTTCCTTTTTCTCAGCCTGTGCCACCATCTTCCTAACCGCTTCACCCATAGCTGACTCCAAGGCAACTGCTGCAATCTCCATTGTATACCTCTCTTTCTCAAAAGCTTCCGCTTCTGTCTCAGTCCGTGCTACCATCCCCTTCGTAATTGCCTCATCCACAGCTGCCTGCAAGACAACCTCTGCAATTTCCATCGTACACCTCTCTTTCTCAGAAGTTTCTTGTTCCTTCTTCTCAGCCCGTGCAACCGCCTTCCTAACCACCTCACCCACCGCTGACTTGAAAGCAACTGCTGCGATTTCCATCGTATACCTCTCTTTCGCTGAAGCTTCCGCCTCCGACTTTGCAACCGCCTCACCCACCACTGACTCCAAGGCAACCGCTGCAATCTCCATCGCATACCTTTCCCTCTCAGACACTTCCGCTTCTGTCTCAGCCCGTGCTACCACTGCCTTTCTAACCACCTCACCCACCATTGACTCCAAGACGACCGCTGCAATATCCATTGCATACCTTTCCTTCTCAAAAACGTCCTGAATCCTGGATTCCAGCTCACTCACACGTGACTCGAGCTCCTCACTCTCCCTCACACCCCTGTTCTTTTCCGCTCTGCTTCCTTTTGCCCCTCCCTCTCGCATCTCCCACCTCACATGCTGCAGACCCCTCTCTTCCTCGCCATTCCTCTCCCTGCCCCTAGACACCACCGTATCAACCACAGCAGCAGCCATATGCTCGAATTGCTGCAGCACAAGGCCAGCCTCCTCAGTTGACTTCGAAACCACCCTAGTCACCACCGCATCTACCACACCAGCAGCCAGGCCCTCAAATTGCTGCAGCACAAGCCCAGCCTCTTGTTTTGATTCAGAAATCACCTTAGCCACCACTGAATCAACCACAGCAGCAGCCAACTGCTCAAACTGTTGCAGTAGAATCCCAGCCTCCTGTGCCTGCGTTTCCGCCCTCTCCCTCTCCTTCCCCCTCTCTTCCCTTTCTTGCTGCACGATCAACCTCTCCATCTCCCCCTTCTCCCTCTCCCTCCTCAACTCCTCTCCAATCTCCCTGCACCTCTCCCAACCCCTCTCCACCTCTTCCCGCAGCTCCTCACACCTCCTCCTCTCCCTCTCCACCTCTCCCTCCAGCTCCCGACACCTCCTCCCCTCCCTCTCCACCTCCCTCTCCAACTCCTCACACCTCCTCCTCTCCTCCCCAAACAATCTCTCCACCCCTCTAACCGCCTCTCTCCCTGCTGCCGCCTCACCCTCCGCTGCTGCTGCTACCGCCTCAGCAGCAGCAGTCGCAGCTTCGGCTGCAGCCACTGCCTGTGCGTGCAACACGTCTCTTGCCTGCTCTGCTGCCTCTAACCTCCCCTGCCACGCCCTCTCCATCTCCTCGCCGTCTCTCACTTGCTCCTCCAGTGACTTTAGACTCGCCACAGCTGCTGCTGCAACGTCAGAGGCAACAACAGCAGGAGCTGTATCCGTTGAACCATGGCTGCTGTTCATCAGGACCATGTCTTCAGCTCTAGCCACTCGCTCCTCCAGCTCACGCACCTTCCTCGCAGCTTCCTCCAGCTCCCCCTGTGCAATCTGCATCGCTTCTGCCCTCCCTTCCTCTCTCCCTTCCCTCCTCCCCTCCTCTTTTCCCTCCTTCCTCCCTTCCTCTCTCCCTTCCTTCCTCCCTTCCTCTCTCCCCTCATTCCTCCCCTCCTCTCTCCCTTCCTTCCTCCCCGCAATTCTCCCATCCAATCTCACATCCTCCATCCCTTCCCTCCACGCCTCCTCCCTGCCCTCTTTCCTCCCCTCCTCCCTCCCCTCCGCCCTCCCCTCCGCCCGCCCTTTAGCATAAGCCTCGTCAGCAGCAGCGCGGGCAGCAGCCTTCACCTGCTCCATCTCCTCCCTCGCCTCCTCCATTACCGCCGCCACAGCCTCTGCTATCATCCCTGCAGCGTCGCTCCCACCATCACTCGCACCATCACTTGCACCGTCATTCCCACCATCACCATCACCATCACCATCACCATCACCATCACCATCACCATCACCATCCCTTTCCACATCCTCCTCCCCCTCCATCCCTTTTCCATCTCTCCTACCTTCACCGTCCTCCTCACTTTTCTCCACCTCTTTACCACCCCCATCGTCACTGTGAGTGCTTTTACTACAGCCCCTCTCGCACCCAGAACCACACACCATATTTGAGCCCACATCCTCCCCAACGCCTGCTCTCCCTCCCTCCTTCCCATGCACAAGCCCACGCTTCTCATTTTCTCCCTCACTGTCCCCCACTCTCATCTCCCTCCCCTCCGTTCTCCTCTGCTCCACTGCGCCTGCCACTTTCATTGCCAGCTCAGCAGCCAGCTTTTCCAGGTCAGCTTTCAGCTGGTTGGCCCGTGTCTCGGCTTCCTCCCTCGCTGCCCTCTCAGCTGCAAGCAATGCCTCCATCCGTTCTATTTCGATCTGATTGGATTTGATTCTCTCCATCTCCGATGCTGCCTGCTGCTCCCCTTGCAGCTGCAGCGTACTAGAAGAGGGACCAGCAGCAGCAGTACAAGAAGCACTACCACCAGAACCAGCAGCAGTGGCAACAGGACCATCAGCAGAAGCACCATTAGAAGCAGCAGCACCCCCACCAGCATTGGAAGCAGCAGGCGAAGACACAAACGCATCCTTTCCCTCCGCCTTCCTCTCTCCCTCGTCCATCCTCCTCCCCATCCGCTCCTTCTCCTGCTCCAGCCGTTTCATCTGCGCCTGCATGTCCAGTATCATCTCATCCCGGCGTTTCAACTGCGCTCTCAGGCGCTGAAACTCCTCCCTGCGGAACAGAGGCGTGGGCCTGCTGCTACTGGCACTGGCAGTGCCACGGCTGCTGCTGTTGATGGCACCAGGAGGGGGAGCAACTGTGCTGGTCAGACCAGGAAAGGCAAGCACAGGAGACGCGGAGAAGAGGGGAGTGGGAGAGGCCGAGAAGAGGAACGAAGGGGGAGTGGAGGCACTGTGGGATGCAGCAGAATGGAAGGCAGTGCCCGTCCCACCTGCACCACCAGTAGTAAAACCAGCAGCAGCAGCAGCAGCAGCAGCAGCACAAGTGCTGCTTGCGCCAGTGAAAGGCATGGAGAAAGAATCTGAAAACCTCCTCCCTGCTGGAACACTCCCAAACCGAAACACGGCAGCCGGTGCCTGGCCTGAAACACAGGCTTCAGTAAGTGCAATCGCTGCTGCCGGTGCTGGTGCTACTGGCGTGCCAAGCCTGCTCGTGCCTCCCACAGCTGCTGAACCAACCCTGCCGCCAAACTGCCACTGTGCCGCGTTTGCCGCCGCTGCTGCTGCCCCTGTCGCCGTGACTGCAGCGCCAGCAGCAGCACCACCAGCAGCAGCAGGAACACCAGCAGCACTACTGGCTGCTGCTGAAGCAGACACAGATTCCATTGCCAGATCCTTAAGTGGTGTTGTCTCCCGCCCTTCCTCACCTCCTCCTCCCTCTCCACCTCCTCCACCTCCTCCTCCTCGCCCTGCCTCCACCGCACGGGCAGTAGGCAGCAGTGCGGAAGAAACTGACGAATTCGAGGAGAGCGAGAGTCCATGAAGAGCCGGCAGGCCACCCGCCTTTACAGCCGCGCTCAACGCCTCTCCATTCACCACAGCGCCTCCCTTCCTTGAGCCATCCGCTAATTGCGCTACATCACCAACACCACCAGTTGCAGCTGCGGGGTCTGGTAGAGCCGCCGCGAATGGAGCGAGTCCCACGGAAGGAGGCGGTGGGGTAGAGGAAGGAGGAGATGCCAGGGGGATTTTAGATGCAGGAAACGGGGAGGGAGCTCCGGGGAAACGTGAGGGGGTTGCAGTGAATGGCGAGGGCGCAAACAGGTGAGTGGCAGAGCTGCCTTGATTTGACCCCGCAGCAGCAGGGCTGTTGGCCGCACCGGCTGTGGCAGCAGCAGGGGCAGCAGTACTGGCAGTGAAAGCACTGGCAGCGGCACCACTAGCGCCAGCAGCGCTGGCAACCGAGGGTGCAGGCGTGGTGTTGCGAGCAGCTGTGCGCAGCCGTGCGTGCCTCTTCCATGCAGGGGTGCCTGTGGGGACAGCGATGGCGACAGATGGGGACAAGGAGGATGAATGCAGGCATGAGTTAGCGACAAACGAGAGAGGCACAATTGTGAGATGTGTCAAAGCCATGCGCGGCGGGGCGTGCCTCTTCCACACAGGGGTGCCTGTGGCCCTGTGGGGACAGCGGTGGCGACAGATGGGGACAAGGAGGATAAATGCAGGCATGAGTTAGCAGCAATCTGAGGATTCATTTGTACAGTCACAGAGCACAGAAGCTCAGACAACTGTGGAGAGAGATGGATGACATTACCTGCAAGGCAAAGGCATTCAAGGCAAAGGCATGGAAGGCAAGGGCATGCAAGACAAAGGCATGAGAGGCACAAGCATGAGGCAGAAAGCCTGGCACGGCACAGCATGCAAACATGCCTTCTCCAGGTCCGTTTGTGCCTCTCCCACTCCCTCTGTACCTCTCCCACTCCTTCTGTACCTCTCCCACTCCCTCTGTACCTCTCCCACTCCCTCTGTACCTCTCCCACTCCCTCTGTGCCTCTCCGGCTCCCTCTTCGTCTCTCCCGCTCCCTCTGTGTCTCTCCCACTCTCCCTGTGCCTCTCCCTCTCCCTCTGTGCTTCTCCTGCCCCCACTCTGCCTACCTTCATCGTTCCCCTGAAAGGGACCTGATTGCACTGCGTCTTGATTCATCCGCCCATCCATGTCCACATGCTGCTGCCCACCCGCATTCACCAACCTTCGTCCCCCCCTCCGCTCCATCCCCCCTCGCCTGCCCTGCCCCCTCTCTCTCTCCTCCCGCAGCCAGCTTGCCAGCCCGCCAGGCAGCGGAGATCCCTCACTCCCTGCGCCTCCCCCTTCCCCATTCCCCCCTTCTCCTCTCCCCGCACCTCCACCCGCCCGCCCTCCCCCTCCCCCTCCCCCGCCTCCTCCCCATCCGCCTGCTGCGCTGATGGCTGCTGCGCGTCCGGGCCCTGTGCTGAGCGCGTGGGCGGGTGAGAGGGCGTGGGGGCGCAGGTGGTCCGCGTAGAGGCCTGATAGGGGGAACGGGAAAGGGGACGAGGAAGGGGTGGAGGAAGCGAGGAAACAGAAGCGCAAGGGAGGTGGAGGCGGAGTGTCAAGAGGAGGACACAACAAGCGTAGGGAATTGCATGGGAGACAAGGTGGGGGACTGGAGGCGCTGGTGAGTCTGCTTGCATGCGTGCAAACGCACTCACCATACTCCGCTGCAGGAGCCAACAACGACCTTCCACCAGCAGCAGCACCCGCAGCAGCAGCAGCAGCAGCATGGTCATGACGACCACTAGGTCTCTCTATTCTAGCAGACGTCACCTCTTCCCCACCCTCCTCCCTCCCTACCCCCCTTCCAAATCGCCTCCCCCTAACTTCCGCCTTCCCCTTCCCCTTTTCCGCACCCCCTTCCGCCCATATTCCCCCATCGCCTCGCTCCCCCCGCCCCCCTTCCCCCTCTATCCGCGGCCCAACACCCGAAAGCGCCCCAGATAGCTCCTTCTGCGGGGAAGCTTCCGCCACAGGCGCGCCTATCCCTTGCGCTCCTCTAACGCGGGGGCCGCTGGTGCATGAGCGCGCGCCGTGATTGCAGGAGGAGGGCGCGCCGTGCTTATAACGGGGGGACGCGCCAGGGCAGGAGGCGAGGGAACGGGCGGAGGAGGCGGAGGAGTAGCGCGCGGACGCGTGGGGCGACCGCTGGGCGGGCCTTGGCGGAGAGCCATGGGGGAAGGCGGACGGGGGGAAGGCGGAGTACGGGGCGTGCGGGGCGTGGGGGGCGTGCGGGGAGAATGGGGGGCCATGGGGGGAGAATAGGGGGGCGGAGCATGCGCCGAGAGGGGGGCCTGAGGAGCCGACTACGGACTCCGCGGCGGCGTGCTGCTGCCTGCTGCGGTGGCACCGCCGCTTGTGGTGTACCACCGCTGCTGCCGCTACCGCGCCCCCCGCTAGAAGCACCCACGGGAGCGCGTCTCTGGGTAACTGTGGGCACAAGACGAGGAAAGCGGGGTAGGAAGAGTGTGTCATTTCTTGCGTTGACGAACGTCAAACGCGAGAGAGCGGAGCGGGCCTATGCGGAATGGTGCTCGCTCCTTACCCTCTCAGAGGATATGAACCATCCGCGTGGCTTTCGTCGTGTCTTTTTTCAAATTCCGTCGTGACTCTCCTCGTGGGCTTATCCTCACTACTTACCCTAGGAGGCGACGGTTCCCGCGGGCGTATGCGACTGAAGTCGTAATACACCTGCTCCGCCTGTTCCCCCTGCGCCTGCCGCTCTTGCGCCAGCTGCTGCTGCCGTCCTTGCTGCAGCTCCTGCTGCGTCTCCCCTCTTCCGCGTTCCCCCAGGTCCCCCCTTCCCCTCCCCCTGTCCACCTCCGCCTCTCGGGTCCTCTCCCGCTCCGCCTCGCGCATTCGTCGCAGCAGCAGCAGCTGCTCGCGCGCGGCCTCCTCCTCCCGCCGCTGCAGCTCCCGCAGAAGCTCGCTGCGGTTCATCCTCGCCTCGAGCCACGTGGACGAATCTGAGACGTTGACTCCCGACGGCTTTAAGTTAGACTCACAAGTATCGTCGATTTATTCTCGAGCCATTTGAGCTGGGTCAATGACAGATGGTGCCCTTCTGATCCGCTTGAAGAACATCTGGCAACGGAAGGTCCGTTTCAGAAAATTATTACGACAAGGCTGAAAGCGCTGACGACCATTAAGTCTTCTACCAGAAATGCGGCCTGACAAGCTTTCGCTTTTGACACAATGCGGAGTGTCAGCATCCGAAATGGAGGGAAGCGCGAAAGATAAATAAAGTTCCCAAATGCGTCTGGACTTACTCTGAAGGTTACGTCGAGCCTGCTAATGCCTAGACTGTGGTCCTAAACTGTGCCAAACACACGCAGCCTCGGAATAACTTTTTGAAGAACAGTCACGCAAGATCACGGACACCACCAAATACAGCTCAGACGAAGGTCCCCAGCTAGTCGGATTTTGGCCGAAGCGAGGTATTTCCGCTGGTTCTGTCCGTCTCGTTCCGTTCCGTTCCGTTGGTTGGCTTCCGTTTCTCATTCGACGTTCTCAAGGAAGTCGATCGAACCGCGCTTCTTGAAAACCGTCTTGGCGCGAAAGCTCTGACCCGTTGTAAAGTTAGAACGGGGTGTACCTGAAACTGTAAGGAATTATAATCCTTTAATGTACTCTCCCTTTAGCGAGTACATCCGGAGGGCCACACAACCATGGATTTATCGTGAGCTCTTGGTTACCGACGGATCCTTGCCTTCGTTGGTCGTGATCGACCGTGACCCCCCCCCCCCCTCTTTCTCCCTTCGGGAAACAGACAACTGTGCCTGTCGCGGTGTTACAACGTATGTTAATTCCGCTGCATTCTGACGATTTGGGGAAGAACTTTATGTGGCAGGTGGCGTCGCCAGACCTGCGTCGGTGTCCGAATTATGTGGGAGTCGACTGCCGTCCCGCCCAACCCGTTAAGTGCGGCGGCTTTTATTGTCAGATGATTATATTGCTGATGCATATATTTAGGCTGTAGTGGGGTAGCCCATAGGGGGTACAACCCAATTAGGGTTGGTATGACAAAAGTTAGAAGAAAGAAAGAGGATTGAACTAGCAGAAATGGGGATACAAATAGCAAACCCTAGAAGGGTTGTACTTGCTATAGAGCACCCCACTACAGGCTAGAACAATAAGATAATATTCTGACACACCCCCATAGCCAAAGTGGGGTGTAATCAGCAGAGCAGGCAAAGTAGTACAAGCTCAGGGTGGATCACAATGTCACCACACATTCTGAGCACAAGTTCAAGAAGAGATAGTTTAGAGTTCACAATTATGAGCAGAGCTAGTGGTAGTCACAACGGGCAAGTGAGGAGGAGGAGAGAGAGTGAGGGGAGAGGAGATAGGAGGCGACGGCTGAAGCTGCAGGCACACGGGCAACAGGAGGCACACTGGCACAGCGGCTACCGGACAGCGCCCGGACTATAGGAGTAACAGGCCCCGCGGCTCAAATAGCGGCGGACGGGCAACGGACCCACGGGCGGCTGGCACAGCTGGCTACGACTGGGCTACCGGGACAGCGCCCCGGACTACAGGTGCTGCGAACGACAAACTGACAACCTCCGCTCATCCTCCCGCACACAGTCCCACCCCCCTGATACACACCCACTGCTACACCGCTAGCTGCACTCCCACGCACCCCCCTTAAACCCTAAACCCGAGTCTCCCACACAACCACCCCCCTCAGCGACAGCTGCAGCAGTGGGAGACGAAGGAGGAGGAGGAGCAAAGGGAGGAAGGCACACCGAGCACCCCCATACCCGCCACCCCACAGCTCGCCCCTCAGGTCGCCTCGACGGACGACGGGAAATGGCAAGGGGAAGGGGGGGGGGGGGGGGGGGGGGCGGTGTGGTGAAAGGGGCCCACCACGGGCCTGGTTGGAGGGCGGAGCCGCGACAAGGGGCGGGACCGCGACGGTCGGGGCGGGGCCGCGACGTAGGGCGGGGCCGCTTCGAGGGGCGGGGCCGCGACGCAGGGCGGGGCCGCGACGTAGGGCAGAAGCCCGCCGCGCGCCTCGGGGCGCACAGCGGGCAAAGAACCGCCGCGCGCCTCGGGGCGCACGGCGGGCAGAAAACCGCCGCGCGCCTCGGGGCGCACGGCGGGAGGAAAAAGTAGCAGCGGAAGCGAGGTGGTAACCCACCCACAGGATCGATCCAAGGGGATCGACCTGCTCTGATAGCATGACAAAAGTTAGAAGAAAGAAAGAGGATTGAACTAGCAGAAATGGGGATACAAATAGCAAACCCTAGAAGGGTTGTACTCGCTATAGAGCACCCCAATACAGGCTAGAACAATAAGATAATATTCTGACATGGTACTTGTACTTGTTCTCATTTCATAGTGCACTCATTCTTCGCCTCTATTCTGATATGGTATCGAGCAGGTTCCCTAGTGGGAACTGTTCCTAGGGCCCACCCACTATTTCGTCCTGCCCTGAGCGCGCTCTGCCCTAGCCCGAGTCGCGCTGGGCCTCTTTTTCCCTTTGGCGGCCCGATCGTGTCGAGCCGCCCGCTTTTTTTTTGGCGCGCCCCTTCCGCGGCCTAGTCGCGCCGCCCCTAGACGGCCGCGCCGCGTCGCGCGCCGCTCCCCCCCTCTGACTCTCGCGACCCCGCCGTCCCCTCTGACGGCCCCGCGTTCGCCTGTGACGGCCCCGCCGCTGCGCTTACCGGCCCCGCCGCGGCTTCAGGCGGCCCCGCCCCTGCACCTCGACGGCCCCGCCCCGTCCCCTTCGACGGCCCCGCCGTCCCCTTCGACGGCCCCGCCGTCCCCTTCGACGGCCCCGCCGTCCCCTTCGACGGCCCCGCCCCTGCACCTGACGGCCCCGCCGTCCCCTTCGACGGCCCCGCCGTCCCCTTCGACGGCCCCGCCGTCCCCCTTTGACGGCCCCGCCACTGCGCCTGCCGGCCCCGCCGCTGCACCTGACGGCCCCGCCGCTGCGCCTGCCGGCCCCGCCTCTGCACCTGACGGCCCCGCCGCTGCACCTGGCGGCCCCGCCGCTGCACCTGACGGCCCCGTCGCTGCACCTGACGGCCCCGCCGCTGCGCCTGCCGGCCCCGCCGCTGCACCTGACGGCCCCGCCGCTGCACCTTCCGGCCCCGCCGCTGCACCTGCCGGCCCCGCCGCTACTTCAGTCGGCCCCGCCGTCCCCTCTTCCGGCCCCCGCAGCTGCATCTCCCGGCCCCGCCGCCCCAGCAACTGCACCGCCCCAGCAACTGCGCAGCCCCAGCAGCCGAGCCGCCCCAGCAGCCAAGCCGCCCCAGCAGCCGAGCCGCCCCAGCAGCCGAGCCGCCCCAGCAGTCGAGCCGCCCCTGCAGCCGAGCCGCCCCAGCAGCCGAGCAGCCCGAGCCGCCCGAGCCGCCGCGCCGCCCGAGCCGCCCAGCCGTCGAGCCGCCCGCGCCGCCCGAGCCGCCTGCACTGCCCTGTCTGGTGAGCACTGAGCTTTACTCTGCGCACTGCCCTCCCCCCTACTGCTGTCATGGCTACCCCCAGTGTCCTCACCTTTGACGCTGAGGGCAGAGCCATAGACTTTGACATGTGGGTAGACGACCTACTGCTTTTCCTACAGTGCGACAGAGCTGACGGCCTCTCTCTTTTTGATCTCACTTCTGGTGCCGCTCCCGCCCCTGCTGCTACTGAGGATGCCACTGTTCGCTCACAGTGGGCCACACGCGATGCTGCTGCACGTCTTGCTGTGCGTCGCCACCTCCCTCCCTCTGAGCGTGCACACTTTGGGTCGTACAAGAGTGCTCAGACCTTGTACGACGCCGTTATTGCACGCTACTCCACCCCTGCCACTGCTGCACTGAGCCGCCTCATGCTACCGTACCTCTTTCCCGACCTTGCTGCTTTTGCCACAGTCGCCGACCTCATTACCCACCTGCGCACTAGTGACGCTCGCTTCCGCGCTGCACTTCCTGCTGAGTTCTGCGCCAAGAACCCCCCCCCCAAGTACTTCACTCTCTACTACATTGTCACCCGCCTCCCTGACTCCCTTCGCGGAGTCAGGGACGACTTACTCTCAGTCTGCCCCACCACTCTCACTGTTGAGCTCCTCGAGAAGTCCCTCCTAGCAGCCGAGAAGAGCATTCTCGCTGTAGGGGCCTCTCGTGGTGACCCGCGCACCCCCATCTTTGAGGGGTGTTCCCCCTCCCCCCTCCTGCCCTCTAACGCCTCTGCTGCTACGGCCGACCTAGTTGGTTTTGAGTCGGTCGGTGCGGCGTCTGCCCCCAGTGGGAGACGTTGCTCTGGCAAGGGCAAAGGGGGCAGGGGCGGTGGTGGAGGCGGCGGGGGCGGTGGAGGCGACGGTGGAGGCAGCGGAGGAGGTGAGGGTGGTAGCGGGAGTGGTGGCGGGAGTGGAGGTGTCAGCGGCGGCAGTGGAGGCGGGGGCGGCAGCGGCGGTGGTGGTGGGAGTGGAGGCGGAGGCGGCGGTGGCGGCGGCGACGGTGGGAGTGGCGGTGGCAGCGGAGGTGGTGGCGGCGGCGGCGGAGGAGGCGGCGGCGGAGGAGGCGGCGGCGGAGGTCGTGGCTTGTCGCGGAGGAGTGGCTCCGGTGGTGGTCAGCGCCAGCAGCAGCAGCGAGGTCAGGAGACCCTCTCCCCGCAGCAGCTCCGTGAGTGGTACGCTGCACGTCAGAGGGGTGGGGGTCCTGGTCCGTGCACCTACGTCCTCCGCACTGGCGACCGTGCGGGTGAGCCGTGTGGTGGTCCACACTCCGCCCAGCGCTGCTTCGGCCGCCTGACTGACGCCTGGCGCCGCCAGTTTCCTGATGCCTCTGAGATCCCTCGCTGGGAACAGCTGTCTAGGGCAGGAGTAGCTATCTTTGATCTTGACTTTGATGCTATTCTTCGTGCCATGTATGCTGTGACTATTAGTGAGGAGGGTGACTGTTACCGGTGTTTCCCGCCCGACCCGGGCATTGGTACTGCGGCTCTAGGTGCGG